CTCCTGGCAAAGTATAACAGTACTATGGCATATTATTATAGTATTCTATTATATCATATTATTATATTATATTATATCATATATATTATATTATATCATGTATTATATCTATTATATCATATTATTATATTCAGGCAAAGTATAACAGTACTATGGCATATTATTCTTTAGCTACTGATATCGGATCTACACGGCGAAAACTGTAAAGTTACCTACTTTACAGATATAAAGCGGTATATTGTAAGGCGGATAGTGGTCATTACTCTGGTGCTTTTCGCTTAATGCTAGATACTTCAGCATGGTTTTAGGGAGGGTGCAACTACGGTTGAATTCACAGAAAAATCAACAGCGACCTTGTTTCTCAAGATGCTGAATTACAAGCAAAGAGAAAGAAAATAGTGTGACTGGCCGGATCAGTTTGAACGACGCAAACACGCTGACGCAGGGTTCGTGCCACAGCTTACGAAAAACTCCAACAGTCCGAGGGACGATGAAGGCACAAACGAGGTTTAATTTGACTGGAACTGGGGTATTTCATTACTGAAATCAGTCTGAGAGCCAAAAACCGATGATAAACGGTGATAAACCAGAGAATACACGACATTTTCATGTAGATTAAATAATAGTTGCATAAAATCAATAGGAGAAAATCGTAGAATAAGAAAAAAATTACCAGCAACTGCAGGGTACGGTTAACGTAGAAGTTGCTACACCTATGGTAGAATGGCCGAACTAACCATGTATCTCTACATCTGCTTACTTATTTGGCTACACTAGTTTTACATTGCATCTATCTCAGCATGTGAGGTTCCTTTTAAAGATTCCTGTTGAGTGTAGCTTCTATTCCGCTTCTATTCGACCCGTTGAAATGTAATGTGACTTCAGAGAATGCTGCGTATCATTTCAAAGATCAAATTCTCATGCTCTTGAATGGACATAAGGTCAGAACAAAACTGCATGTTTTGTAAGTACACGGCTTGCATTAATTTTGCATTGGTTTGATGGATATCATCATCTGAGTTTGGAAATAGACATACCTCGCAATGTAGGAGATCCCTGCAGATGGCGTATTAATATTCTCTGTTTTCCACGCATCAATACATTCAGGAAGAAACACTGTCTTCTGAGTTTTACAGGCAAATTGAACTTGACAGAGGTTGAGCAAAATTTTTGAACTCAGATTATTGCTTCCATGCCGCCTGCTACCCAGCTAGAGTCTGCGTATCTGTATAATGCGTCTGGTCATAATGCTGTCAACCAAATGTCAGTATTCCTAAACTGTTCTACGAATATCATCTGCATAATAATGAAAGATGCCAGAGAAATGCGATCCAAAGTCATCTAGTTTTCACCACCAGCAGCATCTCATTGAAGCTATGAGTTATTACGCAATATGGTACGGTTCTATAACAATTTTCTTCGCAGCACATCACAAATACCCTAACCAAGCAAAGGGTCCCCATATATAGAACAACGATAGGTAGAAGTTAAAACGACGAGATGAAGATATCTATTTAATAAATTTTTAACATTAACAATAATGATAACGAATTGGAACGGCAAAAATGCACAGTGTAAAGAAGAAAAATGTATCCCGTACTTTACACCGATACATCGTTAGTGCAATATAGATGGAGCACCGCAGTATTGCAGCGCCCTCTTGTTTCTAGGGATGACCACATCTCTTAGTTTGGTTGAACAAAGACACGCTTAAATTGAAATATATAAGCCACTGCTTGAAGACTAATAATCAAAATAAGTAAAACAAACTGTGTTTGGGCTAGAACACGCCAATGTTCAACAAAATTAAGATACGCGATCATTCGTCCTATGCACCATAGGTGCCTAAATATCAGTGATTCGTGGCCTGCTTAAATGGCCCCAAGGCGACGAGAAATAATGCATGAAATATACATTAATTTTCAGTCACTTTTAGTAAATGTTTACAATGATACGCCGCTGTGAAAAATAAGTACTTGACAATCATCCTGCCATTTCTTGGACACCTTGCCAATAGCGAACACTGTCTCCTTCTTCAGACCGACTTCTTTGTACACATGAACGTCCTTTCCAGAGCCGTACGCCGCACGGATACAGATTTGATGTTCGGAAAGCAACGACTTCAAATAGTTGGTCTTTTGGCGTAGCGGCTCAGCCGAGATGCCTTCGGTAAAGAACAGAAGACCGTGAGGGAAATTGTGCTGTGATAACCATGAAACGACTAGCCGCTGTTGGATATCTGGCCTAGCGGTGACGTATAAAATCAGGTAACCCATATCTTGCCAGTAGCGGACGACATCGACGGCACCAGGTCTAACTTTCGGATTTTTGCCGCTGACCGAAATGCTGGCTGAGAACGAACCGTCGATGCTGAACACTATGCAATCGGTATGCGGTGGCACAATCGCAACGTACACGTCAACGTACGAATGGTCCCCGCAGACAATAATTTTCAATGCATGCAACCCTAGCGGAAGACGCTTGTCTTCAGGCATCTCGTAACGTAGGCGGCCATGGTTATCCGTCGTCTCTGTACCACAATATACCCATTCACCGCGCTCATCGTCACTGA